TTTTACTGCTTGAGGCCAGTGTTTCTGTTGTATGTGATGTGACGTGGGTTAACAAGAGGATTAAAGATCTATGATGTTAATGTCGGTGCTACACTACCTGTTGGAATTAATTTTACTACTTTGGGACCTTATGTGGTCATGTGGGGGAAGACGCAGCAACCACTGGTTGGATTTACCGACCTTGGAGTTACTTGAAAGGGGGTGATGTTTCCACTACTTGGTGGGACTTAATGGTAAGTAAAAAAAAAACAAAAAACGCTGCATGTCTTTTAATACCTTGTTTCTGTAACGTTAGAGAGAACTGTTGTAAGGCTGAAGAAGTTACTATGTCTGGATTATGCCAGTCACCATATATGGTGGGGCAGCATGGTGGCGCAGTGGTTAGCACCGTTGCCTCACAGCAAGCAGGTTCTGGGTTCGGGCCCCACCCAGGACCTTTCTGTGTGGAGTTTGCATGTTCTTCCCGTGCTTGCGTGGGTTCTCTCCGGGTACTCCGGCTTCCTCCCAAAGACATGTAGCTTAGGTTGATTGGTGTCTCTAAATTGCCCATAGGAGTGCATGTGTGTGTGGTTGTTCGTCTATGTGTTAGCCCTGCGATGGATTGGCGACCTGTCCAGGGTGTACCCCGCCTTCGCCCGATTGCCGGCCGGGATTGGCTCCGTGACTCCGTTCAGGGACTAAACGGTAGAAAATGAATGAATGAATAACATATACGGTTTCTCACTTGCCTGCTTTGTTTACAGTGTTACACATCTGTTTTCATTGGTACATATACAGTTATTTACTTATCTATGGAGAAGAAATTCAAATTAATTAGTGCTATTATGGTTGGTTGAGCTGTTCACTTGCGACACAACACCAGCAACAGGAAGTGTGTGTTCACAAACTATCCTCTCATTTTTAGGAAGAAGCTCTAGTTTTATCATTCTGAAATAATTGCAGACTATTTGGAGTTATGAGGGGTGGAAAGCTAATCTAGAGGTACCCATGATTAAATGTTAAATGGCTGGAAATGAGCATGCCATGAGCTCTTTAATTAAAGGCCTAAATAGTGACGCACAACGACCACAAAGAGGTGCAAAAGAGGAAATGACTACAAAGAAATGCAAAAATCACTAATAATTATGCACAAAAACAACCAAAAAGAGACACCTAATAACCACAGTGACACAAAGTGACCACTAAGACATACCAAATGACCACAACACCTGTACTGCCTGTTTCTGACTCTTATAATACTGTACTTCCATCCCTGTTTTGTTTGTGTTTTTGTTCCAGCATTACTGGACCAGGACATTTTCAGTTATCCACATCTGACTTTCATCACTGTAATCATCCATGCAGTTTATAAGACAGCCATGTACTTCCATTATTTGCTAGTTTGTCTATAGATGAATCCCAAGTCTCTTAATTGTATCCACGTTTCCCTCACTTGCACCTTAGCTTATGTCTTAGTCCCACCCACATAAGGTATACGAGGAGTATATGTTCTGGATTGCCCTTTAGCATTCTTATTGTTCACTTACCCTTTTCCACTCTAGTTGTTCTGGTACTACCTCTATTAGTTTAATTTTTAGTTCTGTTTGTCTGGAGTTCTGTGTTTCCTTGTTTCATTTTAGGAGTTTGATATGTACCTGTGATATGTATACACAAGAGCTTGCTGGCTCAAAATAAGATTTAATTAACCACTTTTTTAGAAAAAGAGATTTGAATGACCACAAAGAGACATTAAACAACCACTAATGACAACAAAGGAGCTCATACTCAACATGACCAACTAGCCCTGTCATGTATAGTGGTCACTACAGTGGACAGGTATTTAAAAAAAAATTCTCATACATGCATGGGTTCTGATTGTGTACACTCAGTACAATGGCCATTGTTAAGTGCAACAGTAATTTTTCAAAGCCAAAAAGGGTGAGTAGTTTAGAAATATCTTGCCAAACCTTTTTGAGGAGGAGACACACAAAACAGTACTACTACAGTATAAGAGAACTCACAAATAACACTCCTGCTTTGAGACAGGGTGACTTGCTACTATGAAAACCTTTTGAGGGGTCTTTAACATGTCTATGCCCAGAGGCTCACTCTCATAATTGACCCATGTGCTAAAAGCTTTTGGGGGAGGGTCCATTGTTAAATATTATTTTGTCATATTCATTGTTGCTCTCTGCTAAGTGATGTTTGATGTAAAATGAGTGATATATTAAAATTTACAAAATGAAAAGGTAATACACACAAAACATAAGTGAATTGGGCTAAACTACAATCTCTTCATCTCTTCTTATTGGAATGCTGCTCTCCAGATGTTCTGTTAGTCTCCATATTGCCTCTTTTCTTTTATATTATAAAATGCATACAGTAGGTTGCTTGTCATTTATGTAAATATGTAAATCAAAGTTTACTTTGTTAAATGTTCTTCCAAATGATAAAATGAATCATCAAAGGCAGCTCGCTGAAAGGCCTGTTTACTCATAACTACAGTATGCAACTTTTATTTTGGAAGAAATATGCTCCAAAACATCTTGATGTAGAGTGGTTTTGTCAAAAAATCAGAATCAGCTTTATTGGCCAGTTGTGTTGGACACACAAGGAACTTAACTCCGGTACAGTGGCCCTCAATGTACAGTGGGTACGGAAAGTATTCAGACCCCCTTAAATTTTTCACTCTTTGTTATATTGCAGCCATATGCTAAAATCATTTAAGTTCATTTTTTCCTCATTAATGTACACACAGCGCCCCATATTGACAGAAAAACACAGAATTTTGGACATTTTTGCAGATTTATTAAAAAAGAAAAACTAA